TTCCACAGTAAATCACAACAGACGGCCCTTGATGACTTTATCCCCAGAATTTTGTTCATCTGTGATAATGTGGGTACAAATATCTGAAAGTCGGCAAGTAGACCTGGTCAGCTCGGTCATTTAATGGGTAACATCCGTAATGCTTATGTATGTGAATTTCTAAGGATTCCACAGTAGTTCATAACAGACGGCGCTTGATGACTTCATCACCTGATTTTTATTCACCTGTGATAATGTGGGTACAATTTCGGAAAATCGGTGAGTAGACCTGTTCAGTTCGGTCATTTGTTATCGGTCTGTTATGTTATCGTGCAAATCAAAATGATATTTCCTATATGGTACCACTTTATTGTATCTCCAACAACGGTAAGTACTCGACTGCGTTTTTAGAGCAAGTCTACATGAAAAACATTCGTGTACAAAAAGATCTCAATATACAGGACTGGAAACTAACAACTATGTTTTATTATTAATATATGACGGCTTTGCCGAACTCTAAAAACATGATTCGGTCCCCAGCGGGGCAGGCACAAAGTATGTGCTCTGCTGTTTCATTTATTTTCCAAACAAAGGCAACACACACTGTCTTCTGACATATCCCTGCATATGATGATTCAAATGACAGTGACCTGTAAGAAGGCCTTTTAGACATCGTAGTTCATCTCTACTGTAGTCCAACAACTGTTTGGTATTAAGCTTCGAAGGATGAATGAATGCCCTGGAGCGAGTCAGTCCTGGAAGATTCTGCCAGAAGTCCATAAATCTTGCCATCCAGGTGTTCAATGTTTGTTTGGCAAAGCCAAAAGCGACGCCAATGACAGGTTCGAGTCCGATTAAGCTGCCTGCAGGCCAGTATGACCAGGAATCCAGACCAGAGAACCAGAGACAATCTGTTGAGTCTTCCTATCGAGAAGAATCGACTTCAAATGCCGGTTGACTGTCCGATAATATTTCTAGTAACTTGTGTATGAGGTTGTATTCTTCCAATCTCTCCGCACTTAATTCAATAGCGTGAATTTTCGCTTGAAATACATTCGCACAGGTTTCTAGGCTGGTTAATATCTCTGTCCTGTACCAGAACCGGAAGGTGTTTTTGATCCATCTGTGAACCAACAACTATCTACTCTCAATATATCCTTCTCCCGGAGTATCCAATCCGCACTACTCGAAAAAAATACTCTATAAGGCAGTTCGTTGTTAACAGTTGGAGGCATGGAGTCAGAGGTCATTTCCAGAATGCTGTGATTTCCAGTGTCAACCAACATTTATCTATAATTGTTTTAGCTGTGCACTAAAAATCTTAACCATATTTCAGTATGACACATACATTAAACCAATGTATATGTATAATGTTCAAATATTATAGTGAAACTCATTTATACATGATTAGCTTTGTCAACGAGTTTATACTCTGGACAATAAAGCATATTTGATTTGATTTGAACAGTCTGTTGCAATCTGCATTGAATTGATTTACTTCTGGATTTTGTCTACGTTGAAACCATTATTCTGTCCTATCTGTATAGTTGTTTTGATTTTCCTATTCAGATTATTACAGATTGTAGCTTGGTTTTCATTGAACTCAAATTCATTATGATTTTGTGATATGGTCATCTAAGAAATGAATGTGTTTCTCTATCTCCGTTTCGAGATTGAACTGTATGATCCTTTTGAGATTGTTCTTGAATGTCATAAATTGGTTCAGCTATCTTGCATTTCTTCTGGAACAGACGAGAATATCGTCTACATATCTGTACCAAAAATGAATATGTTTTTTACCCAGGTCGGTATTTACTATTGTGGTCTGAAGCTTAAATGTCCGGAATGTATTAGTGTTCATGTTTGTTGGACAATGTGGCCGACATTTCTCAAAACGGTATGCTGAACATAGAAGGTACTGTAGTTGTATAGGTATATAAGGGGGCACATTGTTAACTACATCAGTTCATTGTAATCGTTCAAAAATGTCTTGGTAGAAAGAAACTGCAGTAACGTTAGCTACAAATACAAATGGTATGAAAACATTGAAAATTTTCAATTCTCATTTCACTTTTATTTTGAAAAACCCGCTAATCTGTCAGTTCCCCAACACTGACAATATTGATGTCATCTTATCAACTGTTTCTTGTGTGAGTTCTACACAATCGTATCGAAACTTCAAGTGTATCTCCTCGTGTTCCTTGATTATACAGGGAATATTTACTTAGGTCTTGAAAAGGAGGTCGACTTGGAAATTCGGTCAACCATTCACGTGGGAAATTGCTTTGGGAAAACACATCGTTTTCCGGTCAGAGACTCTGGGTAATGTACATAACGAACTCATTCGTTTGGCTGCCTGTTTGCTTAGCCTAGTTCAGACAATACGTATATGTATACTGTTCTCTCTTCAATAGCTATATTTCTTGTATCCATGTTTTCCATTTCACATGTAAAACATCGCTCAGTCTATATGGTATTGTCAACAAGTGGTGTCGCTAGTGAGCCTTTTTATCACAATCTACAACTAGCACGTAAGTTATTTGTGGATATTTTTATTACTTAAAGAACTTCAAGGTGGAGTTTATTGTTATTCCACTCAGCAGTGGTGACCAAAGAGTTGGTGAAAGAGTAGATGGAAATGTTCAAAGCTGCTCCCACAATATGGGACACAAAAATTGTGGTGTGAGCTACTATCAGTTGTTGCCATAGCTCGTCCTATTAGTTGATAACTGTGTCTACCACCATCTGCTTTCTCGTTTAGAAAATGGGTAGCTATGATACTGCAAGAAGCAATAGCAACAGCAGCAGCACTATCCAGTTCCATTTTCACCCCAAAACTGAGTTTGGTTTGGGCAGGAAAGTGATTTCGGTTCAGACCCGCAACACTGTTGAACACATGTATCCGTATAAAAGCGTCTGTTGTATACTTCCTTCTCCATTGTAAAAGTGATGAAAGGATAGCTTCCTCTGTATGATTTGGGATATTTCTTCGACAGAAACGTTAGTGTAGAGGCTTTCTACGTCAGATAATCTTGCTCTTTGACTTCGATTGCCCCTAGTATTTCGAAAAAATGCCTTGAATTCTCCACGAAAGATGATGTTTTTCTTTGCAGTGGTTTCATTATTGGTAAGAAGCTGGACAAGTTTCGAGAAGCTGAATCTCTAATCTCTGGAGCCGATAATCAGTCTGAGAAGAACATCCTTCTTGTGGATTTTGAGTAGTCCATGCAAGTGAGGGGGCTCACTGTAGTGCGGTGTTAGCGGTGATCTCTCTTTTTCCGAAAAATAGACTTGGTGTTTTTTCAAAGTCTGGAACAACTTCCTTCCAATTGATGCAGTAGGGTCCCTTACGACCTTGGTATATTTTCCTTTCTGAAGCACCTCTTCGATTTTCTGTTCGTAGAGATCAGTATCCATCACAACAGTAGCGTTTTCCTTATCTGCAGGTAAGATCTTGATGGTGTTATCTCTACGAAGGCCATTCAGAGCTCTTCGTTCTTCATCACTGATCTTGGATGTTGGAAATGGTTCTCGATCTAGCTGGCCTCTGATTTTCAATCTAAATTCTTTTACCTCAATCTGATCAATAAGGGAACTGTTGGATTCCACTGCAGTTAGTATTTCCAAAGCGGATACAGATGTTGGTGCAATGGCGAATTTAAGACCTTTCCTCAAAATGAATGCCTCTATGTCCGTGTCGTCCGTGTCATTAACTCATGTTGATGACATTGGCGGCTTCATAGTTGTCCTGTTTTTGGTCTGCACTTGGGCATTATTTAGTCACTAACTTTCCCCACTTCCTGTTGTGGGTATTATCCATGTCTTGTCGGATCTTCAAGCACGTGCTTTCAATCTTGGAGAAGATTGGTCCATGATCCTCTTCCAAGGTCTCTCTTCTTATTTCTTCAAATCGTTCTTTGGCATTCTGCATCAGAGTTGACCTCTTGCAACAGTGGTAATTCATTTGAGGCCTTATCAGTGCTCGGTTGGCGTGTTCCAATATGCATTTGGCTCTTTCCCCTGGGATTGGCGATTTCAGCTGAAAACATTTGGGTATGACGTTGTCTCTAGCTCTGCACAAGAAGCAGAGGTGAGTTTGTTCTTTGGTAAGCTTGACAATAGTCTTTTCAAATCCTCGGAATAAGTCGCTGGTTCCCGGTCCGTACCGAAGATACGCTTCATTTTCAGTAACCTTTCACCAAAATATCAGAAAAGAATACCGTGCACTGCGGCTGAAATTTCAGAAACTCCATTTTATACCAACTTTTCCTTCAATTTAGAAGAAAATCCTCAACATCGATCGTCTCACACTCCTACCAACTATCACTGACATATTCTCCGGACTGGAAGTGAAGGAATAATGACAATAATTTCCATCCGGAGAGATATTAAGTTCATCCACTTCGAATACAAAATGTAATTCCATAAATTTCCAACACAACTCATGCCAGCTGTGTGAAATGTTTGCACACGCAAGACCCTGGAAGTATTCGAGATAGTTTTGTTGTTTCAGTACGATGATATTGTTGATACACTGAAGGTTAGTTGAGAAATACAAAACTAAGTAGGACTGTGTTATTTTAAGGAAATTGACACGTTTGAAGGGAGGATCATCCGTTTCCGGAAGTTGGCTGTTGATTTTCATTCAATGTTCCAGGCTATCAAGGTTTCACGTGATGTTCGTGTCTTCAGTCAGGCGGATGGCTCTTTTCGGGATGGAATCCAGCAACTTCAATGTAGGTTTGGGGGCTTTGGGGGCAGAGCTCCATACATGAGAACAATACCCCAAAGAAGGTCTGAGCTGGGCTTTATGAACTATCAAAAACTCCAGTAATATTCATTACTACACCAAAGGTTCCAAAACAGTGCATCATAACTGTATAAAGAAACCAAGTAGGAATTTTTTTGAGAAATTCTATTATGAGAGTATTTCATCATTACTAGCAAATACCAAACATTCATCTCTCTCCTCGCACAGATTCCTTCGAGGGTCAATCGCAACACTACTACAGAAAACTCACCTTTTATAAAATCTACGGCCATCTCCAAACCGTATGTGTCCTTGTCGCAGTCATCCAAAATATGAGCGCCCAGTGAAATATCGGGCAATAACGGCGTCTTTCCCAGATTGACCCTGTCCAGAGTATAAAGCATCGTTTCCAGGGCCTGGATCCCCCCTTGCGGCATGATAGGACCGCAAGTCACGGAATCCTCCCTTTCGTGCACCATCATCAACCCTCCTAATATCAGATCGCCCTCCACGATGGCTTCTTTCTTCACGGGCCAGGAAATTTCGTCGTGCTGATGCCTCAGATGGTGCTGGTGGCTGTCTGTCAGAAGTGAAAATTCTGCGGTTTCGTGGGGACGCAGGAAAGTGTCTTCGTTAAAGTTGAGCATGTTGTGTTTGCGAGGTTTGTGGTGGAAATAATGGTTGTGTCTCAGATCATCGTTGGACTTGATGCTCCGAAGTAGGACGATGGCCCAGAATAGGCAGAGCAGATTGGGAAAGGTTAGTTTCATAGTGATTTACTTCTCCGTGGTGGGGGTTGTCTGTGTCATTGTATCTACAAGTGAGAGGTCATTGAGGGGCGATTGCGGATGGGATTATCGATCAAATTTGGATTTTGCTGAAGCTGTTACTATTATTTGGACAGGTGAAATTATTGTGACGCAAAAACAACCTTCGAGCAGGTACTCATCGTATTGAACTCGAAGAAGAGGAAGGACCCATATAAACTTCTCCAGTACAGTTGTCTAGAACACCTCTCACCTCAGATTGTGAAATGACAATAAAAATCTTCATTCATCTCATGGAAAAATAGCATATCATCCACTTATGAGAGTAGATGCCCTAATTTCAATCGAAATATTCCAACATGAACTCACAGATCACTAAAATAAACGTGGAAGGCTGAAACAAAAAGGCTTCATGGTGAGGAACGGAAAGAAGCCCAGAATAACAGGGAAATACTCTAAATGATTGGAAAAGCTAGCTTCTTGAGTATTGAATTTCACGAAAAGGATCAAAGGAATATTCAACTGAACTGAAATCGCTAATTCCCAAGGTTTGTTCTTCAAATAATCGTTATACATGCGGCAATGAATCAAGGAACTATTTCTTAGGCTATTGTAAGGATATTTTGTCCTCTGATGAATTTTGATAGGGCGTTCTGTATCAAAGATACGGGGTGAAAAATAATTTCGACAACAACAACTTTGGTAATTTTCAAATCATTAACAATTCCTTTGTTATCTATTAACAACATTTCGATTACTACAAACGGCTGCAGACATTCAGTTTGAAAAGTATGTCTTGTGAGTGATCATTTGTATATGACGAATAGGTTGAAACTGTTTGACTTTGTCTATTTGACGATCTTGGTGTTCTGTATCTGTAGAGTAGGGAGAATGAGTATTGACCCACAGAACTTAGGCCACATGTGACCCATTGTACATCCTCTCGAGGAGTTGTCCTCCTAGGTCATCATCCATCCTACTTTCCACGAAGCTGGACAGGTCACTAGGAGACATCTCCTTGGCGCCCGCCGCAGGGAGTGCCCTTGCTGTTGGAGGTGGAGTAAGGGAGGAGGAAGGTGCACTTATAGTTTCTGCCACTTCTACTTCTTCCGCTCTCTTTTTTTTGGCCTCGGCGCCGCAAATGCGCTTACGCCTTGGCCTTTGTATTACATCACGAGGTGATCTGCTATTTCCAGATTGGGGTGGACATTTCTGTTCAACCTCAGCCACCGCCTTAGATTGAGGTGAGCACTTCTGTCCAGCCTCGGGATTGGTTTTTTTTGTTTCTGTTTTTGTGTTTGTTTCATTCATGTGTGTTCCCACGAGTAGCAAGAAAAGAGTTGGTCACTTCTCGAAGATCCACATGGGAACTTTACATGTAATTTTTGGTAATAAATTGTTATTGTCGAAATACTTTTTCCGCCCCGTATCTTCGAAACAAAGCACCCTATTAAAAATCACCAAGAGACAAATTATCCTTAGAATATTCCGAGAAATAGTCCTTTGAATTTTTGCCGCATGTTTATTGAACACCCGATAGAATTGAAACAGATACCAGTCATCGGAACGCTACACAACGTAATGTATGGAAGGAACTGCTATGAATCACACGTTTAAAGGTGAGACCTCATTCATTCTTAGATCAGACAAGTTTTGACTTCTGAGGGTTGTCGTTCGTAGGGGTGCGACAGCTGGTTAACGGAAAAACAGAAAACATATATTGATATTAAATTTCACTTGTATGAAATACTATGATTCCCGGTGGTGAACTTTTCGAAGTTTTGGATTGAAAACAATTAGATCTTTTCTCAAAAATATTCCCTTCCCAACTAAAGTTCTTGCAAATGAGTTTGAAGAATGTTTTGAAGGGAAATATATATGAAACAGTGTAACACACTCGAAGTGAAGGTATCCCTGTATTTAGTCATTTTTGAAAGCAGATATTTGATTTTTGGTACAGGCGTAGACCTCTATGGGTAATACAAGTATTATATAGGAGAAGTATATCTAAAATTAAAATTGGGATTAACGAAAGCAGTTAACAGAACATATATAACTGACAGATCATGAACGATTCACAAATACTTATTATACTGCCTGATCAACTCCATAATAGCATCTCTCAATTAAAAAATATTCAAGACATTTTTTGAAACACGTTAATGTTCGACTCTTTCTTACATAGTCTGGTAATTTATTAAATAATAAAGGACCTAGTGAATTAGGATATTCTTTGGACATTTGAACCCTAGAAAAGGCTATATTTAGCTGATTTTTATCGTTGTGTCATGTTAATGAAGGCTGGATCTGGTTGAAAACCTATTTTAATTACTATATACATGAATCTAAGTGAGTGACTTGGAAAATTTCCTTATAAATTATTGTTTTTCATATTCAATTACGATTCTCAATCAATGGTTCTAAATAAAAACATACAAAACAAAAAATTGTTATAATGCAGGAATGGTAATGAAGGACCTAATTTTCACTATGAAAACATTAAAATTTTGATTATTAGTCACTGAAATGTCACAGGAACATAGGTCGAAATTGAATGACAATCAATGAAGCGAGTTCAACAGATAAACACTAATATTGAAATTTGAAGGTGATTGACAATGTTTCATGATGAATTTCACTTGTTCGGACTTCCATTGTCTAATATATAAAATGATTTGAAATCCCTGAAACAACTAAAAAAAGAAGAATTGAAAATGAATAGCTGAAATTAAAAATTATATCAAGCAAAAATAACCTGAAATGGAATAATAGTAAAATGAAATACAAGTAAAAATAGAACGATTGAACAAAAATAAAGCAACAAAAATAAAAATAAAAATGAAAATAAAGAGTGAAAATATTCCAAGCCACGTTAGTTCACGACATTTCATCACTCGAAGACGATTGTAGATACTAACAATCGAAACGTCGTGAAGTAACGTGGCTTGGAATCTCTCAACTTTTTATTTTCATTTTCATTTTCATTTCTTTATTTTTGTTCAATCGTTCTATTTTTACTTGTATTTTATTCTTGTATTTTATTTCTATATTATTCCATTTCAGGTTATTTTTGCTCAATATAATTGTTAATTTCAGCTATTAATTTCCAATTCTTCTATTTTAGTTCTTTCAGGGATTTCAAATCATCATCATAGTAGACAATGAAAGTCCGAACAAGTGGAATTCAAGTAATATTTGAAGTCAGTTCTGAATTAGACTGGCCCGCCCAGAATTCTGATAAATTATTCATTTCTCTTTCGTCCATCAATTGAAAATCAGACTTGAATTTTAAAATCAGTGAAAAACTCAAATTTCGTATTTTGAGTTAAAATTAGATATGTGGGGTCCAACCCATTAATATAAATTTATTTCAAATAACTTATTTCTTCAAAGCAAAGCAAAATATTGGGAATTTGCCTTTTCGCGGGATCGGTAGGCTGAGTTTGAGGCCGTCACTTGGGCTGAGTATTGCAAAAACTGCGGGCTATAAATGTCTACGCCTTTACAAGAAATCGAATCTCTGCTTTCAAAAATGACTAAAATATAGGGGTGTCATCATCTCAATTGTATCACACTGTATAAGAAGAGCAATATTCCGGAATGAAATCTCTCCTGACATATCTTCACAGTATCTTTTGGTAAATGTCTGCCGGAAATCAATTACTCCCTTGGCTAATATAACGCTGAATATTTAATTGAATCAGACACACATTTTTGCAAGAAACTTCGCAGCTGTTAGTCTCGCTGATGCTTATGGTTGAACAACTTATGAACAACGAATTTGATGTACAAAATTTAAAGCAAACTTTTGAAGAACAAAAAAATAAACTGGTGCGAACCGACATGGAAGTGGTTGAAAAAATTAATTCGACAATAGGATGAGATTTTGGGTGATTATATTCGATAGAGTGAAAAAACCTTGATATGACACCAAGAAATATTCAAATAGGATCAAATCAAAGTTCCAGGTGCGAAGGATAATTTGAATTGAAAAAAACATTGGAATGGAAAAATAAATATTATAAACAAAGACCACAAATTTCAATCAAATACTGAAGACTCAAAAAACTGTCTTGTGGAGTTGCATCGTTTTTGATGAAGAATAAGTGAATAAATCATCTCCCTGAGAGTACTTTACAATTTAATGTACTCAAACATATAACAGTTCCAGTTGAATCAGCTAACACGCTACTTCGAATCCAAATTCGATCGATAATCTTTCTAATAATCTCAGAATCTCCTGTTGATTTCACAATTATGCTTTTTCGAACATCTTTTTCTTCCAAATATATCCGTATCAAAAATAATATTTGGAACTCTATGCGAATGTATATTTGAAATTAATTTCAATAATTGAAGAACACATCTTCTATTGCTGAGTAAAATATCTGAAAACAAAATTTATGTGCGACTCCAGCAATATGATCTTCCATTATCTTTGGACATCAATTTGAAGTCAGTTATCTCATTTCTCTTACGTCTACAAATGATCATATAATAATAATAATAATAACGCCTTGAGTGGACGCATGAGCTGAGAGATAGCCTTATGCATTGCTACGAGAGTAGTGAGCACGCGCAAAGAGGGTACATGGCGAGATTGCATGCTCTGTGGTGTGGAACACATCCGGAGCATGCCGCCTCTTCCGCCCAAAACCTTAGGGATTATGTATCTTATCTTCAGCGGCAGGGCTATTCAGCTCCTTCCCAGCCTGCTAACGAAGTGGTAGAAGTGACAGTTCTACCACACGCAGGGCGCTCCACAGGATTAAGCCCCTGAAGCCACAAGAACTGGCTCGTTTGGATGCGGAGGTTCATAGTGTTCTAACAGAAGAGGCTGACATCTGGCAAATCAACACCGCCGCGTATAACGTCGTCCA